GACAAGTGGAACAGTGATTTTTGACAAAAATGCTAAAGGAACCATTGTAAAGGAAACCTTTTCAGCAAGCCAGATTTCTGTATGGAATAACATCTTTCCTTTACTCCTACTTATAGTAAAAAATCATAAGGATTTGGGGCTGGGGTTGTAGCTCAGCAATAGAATGTTCTTTGCATGCGGGAGGTGTCTTGTGAGCCTTCAAGGTCATCCTTGGCCGCATTATAAATTCGAGATCAGCCTGAGCTACATGAGACCCTGATAAAACAAAACATTACAAGGCTCATAGATTTAAAATATTTTATTTATTATTTTTATTTTATATGTGAGTGTATTGTCTGCATGTATGTAAGTATGCATTGCCTGCAGAGGTTAGAAGAGGGTATCAGATCCCCTGGAACTAGAGTTACAGATGGTTGTTAGCCCTCATGTGGGTGCTGGGAACTGAACCTGAGTCCTGTGCAAGAGCAGCCAGTGCTCTTAAGTGATGAGCAATCTCTCCAGCCCCAAGGATCATAGATATAAATATAAAAACTAAAACTGAATTCTAGAAAGTATAAGGGGAAAACCTTCATGGCCAAGGAAGGACAAATTCCTAGTACTCGAAAGCATTGATCATAAAGTGAAAAATGTAGGTTTCATCAAAATTAAATGTCTTTGCTTTTAAAAGGCATCTCAAAAGGCAGCTCAAACCTGGAGAGGGGGCTGGAGAGAGATGTTTCGGTGGTTAAGAGCACTGACTGCTCTTGACAAGACCCATGTTTTCTTCCCAGCACCCATATGGTGGCTAATGTCTGTAACTCCAGTTCTAAGGGATCCCACGCTCTCTTTTGGCCTCTGTGGGCATTGTATGCACATGGCACACTTATGTGCATGAAGGTGAAACTCATACACATTTTTTTTTTTTTTTAAGGGAAAAAGATTCTTGAGAATCTTTTTATATTGTTTTTCTCAGTGCTAGGTCTCAAACCTAGTTCTGTAAATGGTAGACAAGTAGCATACCACTCATAATAGCCCAGTCCTTAAAGCACAAAAGATTTGAATGGTCATCGCTTAACAAATGAAGATGCGTGAGATGATTATGGTTACATACAGAGGCAAAGATGCAGAGCTGCTGAGGTATAGTGTTGCTGACAGCAATACTACACAGTATATAGACCACGGCAAAATTGACAAGTTAAACATCACCCTACGCCATGACCCAGCAAATGCAGGAAAACATTTATTTACGGAAAGACTTACTAATGTTCATAGTAGTTTTAGTTAGATTAACTCAAGTTGGACACAACAAATGCAGATACATTGTATTTCCATGTAGTTGAGTATACTACTCTGCAGTCAAAAAGTACACATTACTAATGTGCAGCACTGTGGATTAACACAAAGAATTGATGAACAAGGAATATAAGTGACAACCTATAGCCAACATAGTATACAGGGAGAAACTAAGAGCATTTCTTTTAAAATGTGGAACGAGAAAAGGGTGTGCACTCTTTCTGGTCACAGTTCTTAAGGTCTGAGCTAGAGCAATAAGAGAAAGAATTAAAAGGAATACAGACAGGAAGAGTTAAATTCTTCCCCTTTGCAATTGATGTAACCTTGTACTTGAAAGACCCAGGGTAGAAGGATGGACATTGGCAGGGGGTGCGGGGGCAGTCAGAGACGTAGACATCGATGAATTAGAACAAGATATAATGATTTGTGTATGGAAACACCATAATAAAACCTTTTACTTTGTGTATTGGCAATTTTTGAATGTTTTAAAGCCTTTGTAGAGCTATTACTGCCCTCTTCCCAAGAGAATTAATTTCATAATGGAAAATGGGAAAATAAAGTTTCTTTGAACACTTTACTTTTTAAAATCTGCTAAAGAATAAATATCCTTTAATTGGATTAAAATATTAAATGTATTTTTTGCTATTGGGTGAAACTTCCTCATGAAAGTTAATAGCCAGTGAAAAGGTGGTTGTGATGTGATTTAGTATATGTCTTCCTGAAAAAACTCACATGCTACAAAATCAGCATGGGTTGGGTAGAGCACTTAATCACACAGCTTTATATCAGCACTCATGTAAATAGTAGTGATGATAAAGACACAATTATAGATTAACTGGTATTTGTAAACACCAGAGCTCATCACATATTACCCTATTGTTTTATAGTGAAAAATCTCTATAAACCCATAAATTTCCATGTTTTACTAACAAAGCTCCCCCTTTCTATCAGAGTAACACCTTGTAGCTTTATGGTCTGTTAGTAGTGCAGATAATTACAGTAGTATCCATTTTAATATAATTCTTAAATTCTAAATGCATACTTTTAAATTTTTTAACTTACCAGACTCTGATTTTTATCTCTAGGTCAATTAGATGTTTTACATTTCTGTAAGGCACAGGTGAAGGTGCACTGGGGCGGTAGAAGAGTCATAGGGAAATGATGGAAAACCTCTTGGTGCCTGGGAATGGTCAAGGCCTAGGTGCCCAGGACCATGTATGGAGTCAAGACCCTAACCCTAGCTGGCTGTCAAAGGGAGGTGGGAAATCGGTTCCTGAGAATCAGTCCTTCCAAGACTAGGAACTGCAAATGGCCCAGACCTCCCCTGTCCCCGGCATAAACAACACAGGCAAAGCCACTGCCGTGCACAGCCTAGGACCTCGGCGGGGAGGGGTTGTTGGGAGTGCAGCCACTCAGAGGAAGCTAAAACTGCAGCCCAGCATTGAGAAGTCCTCATCCTCTACCCTCCTTCACCGTCAGCCCACCACTGGAGCAGTAATGAGAAACTGTGGTCATGGTTGGGGACCACACATACACAGGAGGAGACCACAGCTCCAAAAATGAGCATTAACAGTTCCTCACCTGCTTGAATTCCTCAGCATTGCAAGTTCCTGCTGCCGCTGTCACTCTGGCACTTGGAGCCTTGGCTGCTGCCATCTTAGATATCCAGTTATTTTCTTTCTTTTTCTGCCAAGTCTTGAGTTCAAAATTTTGAAATCAATATAAGCACCCAAGATTAGGAAAATACTCCTTCTGTGCAGTAAGGTTCCTCACATGGCAGCACATGCAGTCAGCTTTCCAGAAGCATCAACTTTTCAGGAGCTATAACGCCCCTGCTCCAAGACCAGCTCTTCCAGACCTACCTCACTGCCTCATTCTGACATTTTTTGTCCAAGAAAGCATCCAAACTTGAATGTAAGTTCTGCAGTGTGTCAGATGTCAAAAGAACTTACATGATCTCAAGGCCAGCCTGGTCTACATAGTGAGTTCCAGACCAGTCTTGGCTCCAGGGTGAGACTGTCTCAAACAAAACAACAAAAACAAAAGCAACGACCAATTTGCAGCCTAATATTGTGGGCCATGACATATATTCACAGGCAGTATAAAGTTTGCCTTGTTAACTTCCTTTTAAAACATTAATAGTTGAATTTAATTTTTGGTTTGCATTCATAAGTATTTCTGTTGACCCATGATGTAAAATTACATGAATTAGTCTAATACTTTAAGACACGGAGACGATATAATTGAGAAAGGATGCATTTGAAAAGAGACCAGATACTGATTTTTTTTTTTTAATGGGGTGCTCACAAACTAATTTTTAAAAGTTGCTTTGTATTTTTTTTTTTGAGACAGGGTCTCCCTGTAGCCCTAGCTGTCCTGGAACTCACTGTGTAGACCAGGCTGGCCTTGAACTCACAGAGATCTGCCTGCCTCTGCCTCACAAGTGCTGGGATTAAAGGTGTGTGCCACTATGCCCGGCTGTATTGTTATATTTTAGTTATACATAATAATGGGTTTATTATGACATCTTCATACATGTTTATAATGTGTTTTGAACATATTCATCCCCTTTGTCCTCTTGTCACTACCTGCTCCCAGTGATCACCTTCCTCTTCACTAGTCCCCTTTCTATTTTCATGTCTTGATGGGTGACTCGGTGTGCTTGATTAGGATTGCTTCTGTGAGTAGAAAAAGAGTTATTTATGGAAGCATAGGCAGCTTTACCACTGGCTGTACTACACTCCCTCCCTCTAGCAATGGTTAACTGCCTTTAGATCCTCAGGGAGGGGCGCGCAGAGACTTACAATCTCTTACCTCCTCCATGAAGGATTATTTACCTGCCCAACTTTGTATTGGTCTTGTGCAGATAATAACACCTCAGAGTTCGAGAGTACACGTACCTAGAAGACAGAGTTCCACAGCACTTCGCCCTTACCCTGACTCTTCCATTCTTTCTGCTCCCTGTTCCACTATGTACCCTGAACCTGAATGGGGGTATTTTATGTAGGTATACCACACTGGGCTGAAGGGCTGAGCTTGTGACTTAATAGTAGAGTACCACATTAATCAATTACACTCAGCACTACGGCAGTTTTGAGCGTCTGCAGTAACTGCTGCTCACTGTGAAAAAGAAGCTTCTCTGACCAAAGAGGACAGCAGCACTAATCTATAGGAAGAGACATAAATAGAGCCAGTTTGACAAGCTGCATTTCTTTGCTAAAAGAAGTAAAAGCTACATTGTAGTTGCTCATACTTGGAAAGAGTTTCTAAAAACTGATCTGAATTGAAGACTATTCAGAAACCCACCTAGGCTCCCAGAAAAGGAAGTGGATGTTGCCTGGTGACATGGGAGGGAAACTGGGATTTTGAACCATGAGCTATTAGAAGTAAATTATACTTTATAAATTGAAATGAAAATAAAAGGTGCTGTGGTACAGAGCAGAGATGGATTTAGATTGTATCATAGGACGTCTGCGATCAGCTTAGGAAAGGATTATCAGTCCTGGGATAACCAGGTACTTAGCATACAGTTGGCTGTATGTTGTGGCAGGAACAAACATGCAGAAATGCAACCAGGTAAAAACATCTTGTACTTTCTTAGAATAAATTTGTAGCTTTTAAAATCAAATTGGAAAATAAACTTGGGTAACTGCTAGAGTTATTTTCTGTTGGCTATTATAGAATCATTTTTTAAAAACTCTTGCTACCTTTTTTTGGTTTGCTTTTAGTTGATGCTGATGAAATTAAAAGGCTAGGGAAGAGATTCAAGAAGCTTGATTTGGACAATTCTGGTTCTCTGAGTGTGGAAGAGTTCATGTCGTTGCCTGAGTTACAACAGAACCCTTTAGTACAGCGAGTAATAGACATATTTGACACCGACGGGAATGGAGAAGTAGACTTTAAAGGTAAGGGTTTTAAGTCACATTATATGACATGCGAATAGTCTTAGAAATCTATATAAAAATGAAACTAGTTTTTTTTTAATGTCTGTTTTTGGTGATATTATAATTAAAGGTCATATTAAAACTTGGAAAATCGCTAGGCGTGGTGGCACACGCCTTCAATCCCAATACTTGGGAGGCAGAGGCAGGCAGATCTCTGTGTGTTCAAGGCCAGCCTGTTCTACATAGTGAGTTCACGGACATCTGGGGCTACAGGGAGACTCGGTCTCAAAGAGCGGAGGGGAAAAAAAAAAAAAACCTTGAAAATCAGTGGCACATAAATTTTCTTTTATTTTTGTATTCATGAATTATTAAGGTGAACAGGTATTGTGACACATGCCTTTAGTCTCAGCACTCAGGAGGCAGAACTACGCAAATCTCTGTGAGATCAAGGGTAGCCTGGTCTACAGAGAGAGTTCCAGACCAACTGGGGCCAAAAGGAGACCTTTCTCTAAAAATGAAACAAAAAAAAATTGTTAGGGTGTGTTTTAAGTTAATCTAACCCCAAAAGGAGATTTAGTATTTAGATAATAATATTACTATTACTAAGGATAATAGAAAATTATCCTTACTTGTTAACAACAGTATTAAAAGCTGCATTTTTCTTTTTTCTTGCCTGTTTTGTTTTTTTTGTTTGTTTGTTTGTTTTTTTAATGTGTATGAGTGTATTGCCTGCATGTAGGTAAGTGCACCCATGTTGTGCAATGCCCTTGGAGGACAGAAGAGGCTGTTGGATCCCCTGGAACTGGAGTTAGACAGTTGTTAGCTCTCATGTGGGTGCTGGGATTCAAACCCGGTCTTCTGCACGAACATTGAGTGTTCTTAACCGCTGAGCCATCTCTCCAGCCCCATTGCCTGTTATTTTCTTTTAAGAATGAGACCTGTTCTGGTCTGTCGTGGTTTATTCCCATAACCCCAGCACTGGAGAGTGTAAGGCAGGAGGATCTTAAGTTCAAGGACCTGCACTAATCTGTGAAAATTAAAAGTCTATAGTGATAAGGAAGTAAGCATTAAAGTAGAACAAGTGTTTTTTTTTTTTTCCATCTAGACATTGAGAAACGCATTCTTGAGTGTTATAACCAACATGAATACATGACTTTATATTTAAAATAAATACACATTTCACTAGCAAATTGCCAACATTGTTTTTTTAGTTTGGAGAATTGAATTATATGTGTGTTTTCCAGCTAGTAAAGAAAAAGAATTATTTTGTAAGAACCTTCTATTACTGTATTGAAATGCTTCTGGAACAAAAATGTAAAGTTATTTTTGTTCTGGTGAAACAATTTCCAGCCTTTTGGAAGTCCCTTTCCAGTCATATTCTAAAGAAAATAGGTAAATATGTTAGAGAATATTTTTGAGTGCTATGTTCAAATGAGAAAAAAAATACATGAAATCATTTCGTGTTTTGTTTGGAGGCTTTAAAATTGACACTTAGAATTTCTAACACTACTTGTAAATGTTTTGCACAGGAAATGTCCTTTTTGAATACTGTTTTTCTGTATTAAAAATTGAACATTCTAATTTGTAAACATTTTCAACCTTTATTTAGAATTCATTGAGGGAGTCTCTCAGTTCAGTGTCAAAGGAGATAAGGAACAGAAGTTGAGGTGTAAGTATTTTCTTCATTGATGTCATTGTCTTCTTAAATTACCATTCCAGAAATACTACATTTTGACTTCTGAGATGTTTTTTGACTTATTAATCATAATAGGAATATTTTGTATTTTGAAGAAAACCATTTAGAATTGCAGCTAGAATACTTGAGCAACGTACATTTTAGTTTTATAGTTTAGCTTTTAGTTGTATAGTTGGAAAACAAGTTACCAAAGACAGCCATATCACATACCCTAGGCTGTAGTATTTATCTGGCCCGGGTAGTCATGGTTCCATAGTTCAACATACCATTATCAGTTATGTTAAACTATGTACAACTTCTGTATTTTGGAACCATCTTCATAGTCATAGTTCCAGATATTTGATGATAACTGCTTTTCATGGATTGTATTTATGTGTTTGCCTGACAATTGTTATTGATTTTTCCATCTTAATTTTTATTTTTTAGTTGCTTTCCGTATCTATGACATGGATAAAGATGGCTATATTTCCAATGGGGAACTCTTCCAGGTGTTGAAGATGATGGTGGGGAACAATCTGAAAGATACACAGTTACAGCAAATTGTAGACAAAACCATAATAAATGCAGACAAGGATGGAGATGGAAGAATATCCTTTGAAGAATTTTGTGCTGTAAGTGGAAAAAAAGCTGATTCTTCCAAGAACAATTTAGACAATTTCTTAAACATTTTGTTCTGAAAAATTTTTTTTTTTGGTCTTTTTGAGACAGGGTCTCTCTGTAGCCCCAGCTGGCCTGGAACTCACTATGTAGACCAGGCTGGCCTTGAACTCACAGCGATCTGCTTGCCTCTGCCTCCCAAGTGCTGGGACTAAAGGCGTGTGCCACCATGCCTGGACTTTGTTCTGAAATTTTATATTCAGTTTTGCCTAATTGCCCCACATTCAAATTTTGAAATATATTGTTTAACTGTTAATAATTACTCTCAGGCAAGCCTTTACAGAACAATTTTGCACTCCTTTATTAGAATACAAAAACGTAATGTTGAGTTTGGGACTGAGTGTGTTTGTTTTGCAAGTGTGAAGACCCAAGTTTGAGTCTTGAGTACCCAATTAAAAACCTGGGCATGGCTATGCATTCCTGTAACCCTGGCATTAGGGATGGATTCCAAGAGCTTGCTGGCTAGCCAGCTTAGCCCAGATGATGAGTTCCAGTGAAAGAGAGATGGTCTCAAGGCAGTAATGTGTGAGTAATCTGTTACAGGGAGCAGTGGTGTCCTACACGGGCATGTGTACCCACACAATACAGCACAAATGCACCTTCCTATGCCAGCAGGACCCTATAAAAATTCTAACAGGAGAGACTCGAGGCTTTTGATAAGATCATTGCACTATTGTTAAGCTTTCTTGCTTCTTTTGTAGGTTGTAGGTGGCCTAGATATCCACAAAAAGATGGTGGTAGATGTGTGACTCTTTGATGAGTACACCCAACACTTCTGCTTTCTTCTCCATCTCTGAAGATCTGCTCAAGATGTCCAGCAATGCTCTCTGTGTATTTAAATGGAAGTATTTTTCTCTGTGAAGCCACATTTTCCAACATGAGCCTCATGAAGCCAACTAAGTGTTATTGAACGCCTGCTCTCTCAATAATTCAGTGTAGCACTTTAAAGTTTGAAGGACAGCAGCATGAAAAGAGCATATCCATATGGTGGAGAAAGGGAAGGGGTTGGCTTTTTAATTTATTTTTCTTCATCTTTTATAACAAGAAAGTATCTATATATACATATGTAAATATTTATATATAGATATATGTAGCTTTCTATATATTTAGTAGGTTGGCTTTAATTTAATGTACTTGATTGAGAAACAAAATGTTAGAGTACAAAAGTGCCAAGCAGAATATAAGACATCCTTACTTTTATCTCACACAGTTTTATATGTAGATAGAAGAGTGTACAATTTGCGCCAGGTGTTAGGCCAGCTGTTTTCCTTTCTCTGTGCTTTCTCCCTTGAGAGATTGGTAAAGCATTTGTTAATGCCCTGTTATTTACCTTAATTCCATTTTTGTAACAGTAGTCTGTAACTTTCTATCTTTGAATCTATTTCCAGGGACTTACTACTTAATGTCTCTGCTGAGCAGCTTTTTAATCCATCTCTGCTGGAGGTCTAGTTCACTGCTATTGCCAAGAGCTGGTTCTTGTGTGGATAGTAACTGCAGAGTGCTATGGCTGCTTCATGCTAGTACTTTCTAAGCAGCAGCTCTTTTTTATTAAATGTCCCTGAGTAATTAATTTAGCAATTGTGATTTTATAAAGGTCAGAAGATATCTGAGGCAGTTAGGATTTCTTCTTTGTATTACCTAGTGAAGAATACCCAAAGTAATCATGTAATAGCTTAGAATATCCTTGTTTCATTATATATGAGTCAAATACTTTGTCACTAAACTGGGTGAACCATGGGGTTCCCTTCTGTGTTTTGAAAGACTCGGTGTTATCTGAAAAATTAGTGATAATTAGCATGTATTTTGCCTAAAAACCCACGTTGTGATTTAAATGGAAAAATCCTGCTAATCCTATACGCCACTGGAGAGATCTTACCCAAATTTATACTTTAAAATTTTCTTTGCCACAAAGCCTAGAGACAACATGAGTTCTTTTGTTTTGCTCACATAATTGGTAATGGATGCTGACTTACTGTTTGTGTGACATAAAAGTATATCATGATTTTATTCCTTCCCTTTTCTGCAAAGGTACTCTTGGGTGGAAGTAAAACATTCTGGTTAGTTTTATATGGCACTCTTCCCTATAGAGTTTATCTATAAAAAGTGGTTTATAATATGAATAGTAAAGGGCAGGTTCAGTCATGGCGAGTGAATATTAAGTTGAGCATCCTACCTGCCATCGCTGTTCCTTCAACTGAGTGCTGCACATCATGGGCTCTGTCTGTGAGAGAAAAATCCCGGTGCTTGGTGTCTTTGCATGACATGGAGTTTTGCATGTAGCTCAATTTAAAATGTACCTCTTGTTTACATAATTTGCATAATCTAAAAAGATGACGTTGCCAAACTTTGGAAATGTTAATATTCAAAATGAAATGAAAATCTCCACTACATGTAACTTTCTTCCTCTGGATCAGTACATGGCTCACAATTCCAGCCAGTGGTTTGATCTGTTCCAGTGTCAACTGCCATGTGCTCTGCTTCAAGAGGGAACTAGTCTTTTGTGAATTTTTTTTTTTGTACATAATTGTTACAAATATTTTAGCAAATGCTTTCTATATCTCTTGCTTTTGCATATCTTGGCTGGCGTAATGGAAAAAAATAGTGCAAACTATTTCCTTACTGGGAAATGAGGGTTTTCCTTTTTTAGATTGTGTGAGGGAGGGTTGGGGAGGGCATGGTTTATGTTGAATGTTTAAATTTTCTTCTGCATGATACATGTCATGTTGTGAAATCTTTAGAAAACTTCATACTGTATGAGTAAGAAAATAAAATATTTAAAACTTGCTTGAATGTATTGTCTTTGATGGACAAGTAAAGATAGTTTCTCATGCTTTGAGGAAATCTAGTTGGGTCTCCTCTAAGTTTCATTTCCTTTATTTCACAGCATTTATCCTCTTCCGAATGTATTTTGTCTTCTCTGGTTATAGAATTTAAAAGAGCATTCCACGGGGGTAATGATGTGCCTGTTGCTTACTGCTCAGAGTATTACCTAGCTTTCAGTGTTTGTCCATTAATGAATTAGTATGTTGCTCTGGGATTACATAGGCTGTAATTCCAACTATTTTTATTTCATTGACAGGGTTTCAGTAAACCAGGCTGGCCTTGAAATTTTGTAATCTTCCTGCCTTAACCTCCTGAGTGCTGGAATTATAGGCAGGCGCCATCATCCCCAGGTTCAGATTGTGATTTTTATATAAATGTTTATTAGAATTTTATAACTGTACAACAGAAGGAAATTAGCCGAGTTTAATTCAATAACTACAGTGTCTGTTCAGTGCTATTAATAGAATTGAGATACTTATGCCAAGTAAATGATGTCCTCAGTCCAAATGGGAGTTATGGATGTTGAGTATGTTTTACATCCATAACATACATATTTGCAATGTTGGCACTAGTCTCAGTATGCACTGAATTCTGTCACTCCTTTAGAGGACCCTAAGAATAATTCTGTTACCCCTAAAACTACATAAAGGAAATTCATGGTCTTTTTCTCTACCTGGTTTCAAGTATTTTAAGAATATTCAAGACCTAAGAGACCTCCTGTATTAAACCTCAGCCGTCTAGGGTTCAGGGACCATTACAGAAGAAGCCGGTGGGGTGGGGGAGCCAGGGTTGGTAGGGTTGGTAGATGACCACAGACAGGCGGCTGGGAACTTGCTCATATGAACTTACAGCAGTGGTGATGGCATGCACTAGAAACCGAGGGAAAAACAGCATAGAACTGGGGGGAAAAGGGCAGGAGGCCCCAACCTAGTCTAGGAACTATTGGCAGCTGGGTGAGAGAGAGTTGGTCTTTTAAGCAAGTGACCCTAAACAGGCTAACCAGGCTCCAGTCAATGAACTCAAACTGAGGGACATCTGGGGACACAAACTTGAGTCGAGGCCTCAACATACATGACAATGAATGAAATCCAGTGGGGTAGCTATGGTGGCATGGGATGCAGATGGGGTCTAAAATTCAATAAAGATACTGAAAAATATTCAAGACCTATGCAGAGTAAAATGTCAACTCAAGAGTGGGAGAAAATACAAACTGTACTAACAAAGGGACTGAAGAACCTGAATAGACATCACTGCAAAGAAAACAAATGGCCAGTAAGCACAAGAAATGATGCTCAACAGCTTTAGTCATTAAGGGAATGCAAATTCAAGTCACAGTGAGGTACTCACAGTGAGGTTTCCTAAGTATTAAGTTCCTAAGTATTAATGTTAAGGTTCAGATAGCCCCGCCCCCTCACCAACAGGGCCTCCTGGACCTCTCAAGCCCCTGAGAGAAGGGAACCAAGTTGATAAGCACTCTGGTCTTTGAAGTCAAGAGAAGCAGACTTTTCTCCAGTTTGGCCAACACAGCTGGCTTCCCCTTTGATCTCTAAAGAGGGCAGGTTTTAATAGCCCTCCCCCAACTATTAAAAAAAATACATCTTCCCACCTTCTGCACCCCCCCAGAAGCAGACCTATAAAAAGACCCCAGCTCAGCTCACGACCTGGGCAGACATTTTCCCTGCCCAGAAGGGAATCTGTCCCATGTATTTGCTAATAAACTATTTTGATGGGAGTTTTATCTGTGTCCTGGTGCTTTCTCCCGATCAACCAGATTCATCCATAGGCTACCTTATCAACTAAGATGTATTATTGTTCTCCAAAGGATGGGAAACCAGTATGGGAGAGGATGGAGGTGGGGGATGGACACCCAGAATGCACAATGGCGCAGTCACTGTGAAAATGGAAATTAAAAAAAAAAATTAAAGCAGGGACTCGAGTTCATAACAACAGCAGGTAAAGTATGGAAGCAGCCCACCTCACCCACAGATGAGGAGTAAACACTAAGAGGAAGGAAATTTCTGACACATGCTGTAACATAAAAGCCCTGAAAGTTGTTAGGTAATATGTAACTCCACTTTTATGGTTTTAGTGGAGTAATAAAATTCAGAGACAAGCAGAATGGTACATAACAAGGGCAATGAGAAATGAAGAATTAGTGTTGGAAAGAATACAGGGACTGGAGAGGGCTCAGTGGGGTTAAGAGCACCTGCTGTTCTCCAGAGCTTAGTTCACAACTTGGAATCAGAAGCAGCAGCCCTTTGCTCCTTTTTATTCAGTTCAGGACTGCTGGCAACACTATGTCAATTAACTAGAAAATCTCGCGAGACAAACCTAGAGGATTGTTTCCATGTTGAGTCAAAATCCTGTTAGGTTAACAATCAAAAAAGGTTATCATAAAGTCTTTTCATGTCTTTATTGTGCTCCCCTCATTTAAGAATAGACATCGAGGGTAGGGAGATGGCTCAGTGGTTGGGAGCACTGTCTGCTCTTGGATAGGACCTGGGTTTGGTTTCCAGCAACCACAAGGAGGCTAACAGCCATTCAGGAGATACAATGCCCTCTTCTAGCCTCGGGGCATTGCATGCATGGGTGCACTTACATATTAAAGTAAAACATCAGTACAGAGTTTCAGTTGCAGAAGATGAACATTCTGGAGATGGTCTTGATGGTTGTACATTAACGAACTTTTTACTAGACTGTGCACAATTACAGTGGTTAAGATGGAAAATGTATTTTAAAAGAATTTATAAATGTGTATGAAAGGTATAGACAAGATGGTGAAAGAAAGTATTTTTTGGGTAGTTTCCGGGACTTAAAATGGTTTTCAAGCTTCTCTCTTGAAATGTTAGTCCTTAGCCTTCAAAAATGTTGCCCATTCTCAAATTCTCATTCCTGTAGCTTTTAAGTCTTTCACTTCCCCATAGGCACTAAAATCTACCAGTTAACCAAATAAATTTGATAAGTTCTTTGAAACCTGTAGATTGTGGTTTCTATAGCCAAATAAGTAACTGTGTTCATAAGACAAGTATCATGCATGTTACAGTATGCTGAAACACAGAATGGTCATGTATGTTGACTGAGTACTTTCATTGATGTAACCTGAAGCATGCGCTCCAATCATAATGAATCTAGGATCACAAATTGGATCTGCTCCTCACATACTCAATAGTCATCCTAATGCTGGGCAGCTTGATAGCTGCAGCCCCACTCTTCTGGTATTAGGAAATCCCAAATTCTCCATTAGCTTTACTTAAGGAATTCTTACCTATTTCAGACCTATAAGCTAGACAATGTACCTATCAATAAGTAAAATGTATTTGGAAGAGTTATTATAAAAGGCCAGGCAGCCTTAGGATGACAGGCAAGCCCAACAGCATGGTACTGTCACAGAAACATGGACAGGGTTTGTAGGATTAGGATAGTGCTTCTGCACTAGAGAAGGGAGTGATCTGATTCAGGTAACCGGTTAGGATCAATAACTACGAAGGTGACAGTATTTTTTCTTCATTCATACATATTCTAAGAGTGAGTCAATTCTGATATTTTTGTCTCCCCTTCAAATGCCAAATAATACATGAGGGAGTAATACAAACAATTTAAAAGGGCCTGATACTTTTGTAGCTGCTAGGGAAATCTTTGTTGTCTTACTGATCATTTTAACTACAAAGATGATATGTAAAAGGGAAATACTCAAACATTTCACTGTAACATTGAGGATCCAACCTTTCTCAGGCAGAATTATGTTAACTTTCTTCCTCAGTTCCTTAGAAATCAACACAAAGCATTTATGGCTACCTAGCCAAGATGTATTTCAGACCAAGTACTTTGAAAAGGTAATTAAAGCTAGGGACCTCATTTCCTTGAAAAGTACATGGTAGCAACAGTCATAATTCTGAATCTAAGTAAATAATGGGAGGGGGGGTTGAGGTGGGTCAGTACTTCTTAAATGCTCAAAGCAGAATAAGGATCCCCAACACATTCCTCTTTTCAACAAGGCATGAGTATAGAGACTTGATATTAACATCACATGTCTTTCCTTGCTGTCACATTGCCAAAGGGTTAAAAATTACCTATATTGAGATACTTGAGCAATTTCCAGTTGGATTTTCTGTTCCAATCTGATAGAAGGTACAAAGCAGTTTAGACGGTAGGACTAATCACTGGTAGAGAAAACAAGTGTAATAAAACTCTAAGCTGGGTATGATGACATACATTTGTAATTTTGGCACTTGGGAGTTGAGGCAGCAGACCACAAGTTTGAGGCCAGCCTGAGGTACATAGTGAGATTCTGACTCAAAAATGAAAGAGTACTGCTTCTTTTAGTTACTACATGAATTTCCTAAGCGTCCCATCATCACAACATTTTGGTTAGCAATTTTGAGACACACAAGAAAACGTATCTAAGTAATATGTTTAATGAAGTGAGTTCCTTCCATATAAAATAATGCAAAAATAAGCATCGTTTTCATATAGGGAGACAGTATTTAAAGTATAATTGCTGTTAAACCTTTCCTTTCTGTTTATGCTTCTGGCTGAAAACCAAGGAAGAGACCTGAGCATAAAGTCGCTGAAAAATTCTTCATGTGGTTTTATGTGAACATCTGCAAAGTGGAAGGTCTTTTTCTTTAAAGTCCAAAGACGAAAATCAAAACCGATCTGTTGATCTGCTAGCCACAGCTCGAATGTTGCCATAAACCTTTGATGGAGGATTTCCTGTTTTAAGCAAAAAAGAAAAGCAGCCTGTACATATAAATACACTCAAACACATAGAAACTACATAGAACGGGATCTATTAAAAACAGGGACTTTTTTTTTTGACAGGGTCTCCCACAGTCCCAGCCCACCTGGAACTCCCTATGTAGACTAAGCTGGTCTCGATCTCACAGAGATCCTCCTGACTGCCTCCTGAGTGCTGGGATTAAAGGCGTGTGAAATTAGGTCCTTCTAAAAGCACTAAAAGACCCATACATCATACCCAAAAGTTCTCAATGACACCAAGTTGTACAAGTATTTCAAAAAAGCCAAGCAGCCAGACCTGAACACTGGTAGAGCATCTCAAGTTTTTCTGAGCAAGTTGATATGACTCTATAACTGAGATTAAATGGATAATTAAACTGTATTCAGCAGCCCTCTTTCTGCTGATCCTGAAATGTAATGTTATCAGCTATTTTGAAGAGCATGCAATAGAGATTTAAATGATGCTACTCAATAAACTCTCTTCACTAGCAAATAAACTCAATCTAAGTTTTTTATCTAGGCCCACACCTGCCAACTCCCACTGTAAACTGCTTTGCAAATGTGGTTTAAATTCCAGCACTCCCTAATCTTTCCAGAGAAAACACCAAAGAAATAAATGGCTATTACCTAAGATGAGGTTGCAAATGGCAGTTCTTGCCATCTTGATGTTCTGAAATGAGCCAAGAATGTGAACTTTCCTGAAAAAGGCAAAGCGAGACAGGTTAGTCACAAAAAGCAGTTTCCTTATGCAAATCTGGTAATCTAAAAACACAGGGAAATTGTAATAGATCAAGATTCTAAACTGGAGGCAGGGATAATGGCTGCATGGCTTTCTAAGTGCCCTAAGGTCACTTCCGAAAGTGACTTTCATGGTGTACATGTGCACATACACACCCCATAAAAATTATTAGAAAAGACAAGAATAAATTAAGAATTTTTCTTTTAGTTGGCAGGGTCTTGCAATGTAGCCCAGGCTGTGTTAAACATGCAGTGATCCTCCTATCTTTGCTTCCTGAGTGCTGAGGTTATAGGCATGTGCTACTACTGCCAGATTCCTGGTTAAAGGCAGGGTAAGATGGCTCAGTGAGCAAAGGCACTTGCTGCCAAACCTAATGACCTAAGCTCAATTCCTAGGACTTCCATTGTATGAGATAACCAAGCCCCACAGGGGCTGTGGCACACAACTCACCCACCCTGACATAAATGAAAATGAGAAAAAAAAAAAAAAAAAGATTACTGGTCAATAGTTGGTACTATCCAGCAAACATTTTTATTTGTGCTCTCACGTCACCATCAAAAGAGCCTTATCAAGTAGGTATTAGTCCCACTGTACAGGAAGGAAGAAATCAAGAGACTTCGGACTAGGGATGTAGCCTGGGTAGACATACTTGCTGAGTATGTGTGGGGCCCTGGGTTCCATCCTGGGGATAAGGATGGAAGGATGAAGCCATAACAATGGATGCAGAGATCAAGGAAGCTGTCTAAGGCCAATATAGCTGCTCACTGAATACTCAGACTAACAAACACCGATTATAACATTTTTCAACTTAAATGGCAAAGTTTTCCATGAAAACCTAGGATTTTAGAAGATTCCATATCTATATCTATATATCTATATATCTCCATCCATCCAGGCATGGTGGCACACTCCTTTAGATCCAGCACTTGGGCAGCAGAGGCAGGCAGATCTCTGAGTTCAAGGCCAGCTTGGCCTACATAGTGAGTTCCAGGCCTGCAGGGGCTACAGGGAGACCCTGTCTCTAAAGGACCAAAAAAAAAAATCACAGAGAGAGAGAGAGAGAATATGAGTTTTTATGGGGGTTGGAAGAAGAATCAAACAAAAAGCCAAAAAGCCCAGTCCCAGAGGTAGGTGTCGGATACTGTTCTTCAAGTTATTGGTCTGAGGGGGTTCCCCCACAGGCCCCAAAAACAGTGTAGGATATTGCCACTGCTCTTGGTTACCTCCCAGAACTTGACAGTAAGACTCTACTGCTATGCTAGACACCACACACTTTGGTCAAATACACATGAAGAAATCAAGCTGGTACTGACCTAGGAACTTCCTACTGGCTAGCTTTCCTAGTGCCAGAACATACTGAAACAGGCTGCTGAAGGAAAAGTGATCAACAGTCTTACCTAGCTGTGAACCTTGCTAGTTACGGTAATGATCAACAGGCTCACTGGTGCAGGAGTGGTAGGAATGTTATGGGAGTAAGCAACTGCTTCCTGACTGGTTTTAAGGACCACTCTACAGGACAGAACTCATTCCTAGTACTGCAAATCTGGCTAAGAACCTATGGCTGGGGAGGTCACAAGACTTAGTAGTTTATTATTCTGCTAAATGAACATAGCACCAAATTGCCTTCAAAATACTTATCTGGATACCAGAGATTTAGTGGCACTTCTCATTCTCATCAGAGAAGCTTCTTACTGCAGTGGATGGCAATTAATCCAGAAACTCAGGGTTGGTCAGCATGCAAAGAATGAGAATTATCAAGTGATGATTCCTAAATGGGGCATCTACATCACATCCACATGGCTCAGGGAACGATGAAGAGAGGTTGGAAAGATAAGCGCCAGAGGCTGGGAAGGACTGCTGCAAAGCAGTGTCTTCCGGATAGGACATGGCTGCTGTACTCATGAATTCACACTGGCTGTGTTGCTTGTGTAAGACGTGCACAAGATCAAGCCAACCAAAATTCCAGCATAGGTTGTTAGTCAAGGAAATTTCAGTAATGGTAGCTTTCTTCTCAGCAATGAAAGAAATACTTAGAATCACTACTAAAAATTATGTAAAGGGAAGATTGAATAGAATCTCAAGGGAATCCATTGAGTCATTAGGGGGAGTGCAAGGAAAAGGTGTTTGAAGCGGCACTGAAAGGTCCTTTCAAGTGTATAATCTGTACTCTGTGTAGGAGAGCACACCTTTCACAAAAGGAAGGTGAATATTGCATACTGAGTGAAAAGCTGTTAAACAGTCATACGTCAATTAAAAAAAACAGATGATGTGGGCTTAAGATGAGACAAGGACTCAAGAGGCTAGAATATTGGAGGTAATCATCTCACAGATGTGGAAATTATTAGGAACTACGAGGGGAGTGCCCAGAGTCAGCAAGCCAGGAGCTAACAAACATCTTCAAGGATGTTCTTTGATGACAACTGAAGATTATAGCAAGATGGAGTAGTAAGAGATACAGTCAGAAGAGAGTGGATTTTAAGATGCAAAATATTTTTTTAAATGAAGAGAGCTAGATTTAAAGTTGAAGATTTTAGGGTGAGGAATGATCTGGAGTTGGTGGCATGGGGCGCCAAGAAGGGACCTTTCTGCAGTTCCAGAAGTTCATGTAGATAAAAACTGGTTACCATTTGAGAAGTGGGTTTTAGCAAGAATATTGGCTGGTGACCCAAGTCCCAGGACCCAAGTCTCAAGACCCTTGATCCCACAAGGTGGCAGGAGAGAACTGACTCTGCTGACCCACATACACATAAGTGTATTTAAAGCAAGAAGATAAAGGGGATGTGAACAGAAATTGAAAATGTGGTGGACTTAGCTCCTAACAGTTGTACAGAACATAATGAAAATGTTTTGGAAGATGAACTCAAAAAGGCCAGTCCTACTTAAGTCATTCAGAAGCCCCTGATAATCCTCAGAATACTTAAGTTCAGATAATTAAAATGTTTTTTTCTTATGCCAAGAATTTCATGCATGTATATACATATCCATCCCTCTCCCTTTAACTCCTCCCAGACCCCTCCACATTTCTCTCCCAAATTCATGTCTTTTTTTTTTTAATTTGTTTTATTTTATGCAGATGAGAGTTTTGCCTGCATGTAAGTAAGTACATCATGTGCACGCACTGCCCATGAGGCCAGCAAAAGGGGTTGGGTCCTCTGGAATTGGAGTTACTGATGGTTGTTAGCTGCCATATGGTACTGGCAACTGAACCCACGTTCTCCGCAAGAGCAGCCAGTGCTCTTAACCACTGACCCATCTCTCCAACCCCCCACATCCTTTTTTTTGTCCCCTGTAGCCCCAGCTGTCCTGGAACTCACTATGTAGACCAGGCCAGACTTGAACTCACAGAGATCTGCCTGCCTCTGCCTCCCAAGCGCTGCAATTAAAGGTGTGCATCACCACGCCTGGCCAATCATATCCTCTTTTTAGAATCCACTGACTCCAGTCAGTACTGTCCATATGCACATGGACGTAAGACCATCCACTGGAGCACAGGTAGTCTACCAGGGGTCACTTTTCCTAAACAAAACTTACTCTTCCTACCCCATCTGCCTTCAACTACCACAGCTCCTCAGCTAGAGGCGCAGGGCTTCATAAACGATCCGTTTAACACTAGTGAAAATTCATCTAGAATCATATACCCACAAATACCCAGTGGCAAGAATAGGCATAAAATACAACTATCGAACACTGGCAAAGTTCAATGGTTGAACACTTGACCAGCCATCCCCAGGAGCAGGAAAAAAACATGCCTGGCAAATATAACTGTTATGACTTTTTTGAAACAAACAAAATCAAATATAAATCATAACAATTTTCTCAAGATCAGATACTTACACATCTGCCAAAACAATCCGTGTCCGTGTCACATTCTCTATAGTAAACTTGGTTTTTCCTCCTTTGCCAGCGATTCTTCCTATTGCTCTTGACAGGTGATCTCCCTTTAGGGGCTTAACTAAAGAAAAGCAAGACCTCGGTGGCAAGCTACCCGAGCCCACTATCTCCCTTCATACAAAGTTTAACTGAATTTCCCTACTGAATGAAACTAAAAACACATATCCTTTAAAGTGCTAATAACACAGCTCAATTGATGCTATCAGAAAATCAAGAAACCTCACATAATACAAAGTCAGAAACACAAAAGAGCACCACATGCTCACCATCTGTAATTTCAAAAGACTCTAGGAAGAGGTCATCCAGCCTGATAAGGGCAAGTGCATCCTAGAAAATGAGAGTAAACACTGTGAAAATCTTTTCACTTATGACACCTGACATAGAGCGACTCAGAAAGTGCTGAGCAACTGAAGTTCACAAATCCAACAGCTGTAAAACTCAAATGTTAGGGTTGGAGAGATGGCTCAGCAGTTAAGACCACTGGATGCCCTTGAGGAGGACGTGGGTTCGAATCCCAGCATCCACACAGCAGCTAACAACTGTTTGTAACTGCAGTTCCAGGGGATCCAACAGCCTCTTCTGTCCCCTGTGCCAAAAATAAACAGTGTGGACATTTCAATAGATTGGTCATTTTTCAAACATTTGAGTATTTAAAAAATATTTTTATGTGTATGAGTGTATTGTCTGCATGTATGTAAGTGCACCCATGTCGTGCAATGCTGGAGGACAGCCTAGAACTGCAGTTACAGACAGTTGTTAGCTGCCATGTAGGTGCTGGGATTCAAACCCAGTTCTTCTGTAAAAACAGCCAGTGTTCTTAACTCCTGAGCCATCTCTCCAGCTTTACATAGTGTATTTTGAAATCTTCACACTGTGTATTGTGAAATCTCAGTAAAACACCATGGTGTTTCTAAGCCACATAGCAATTATGCCTTAATAAGAAAAAGCCTGACTCTTTAGCATCAATTTTAAGGCCAAGAGTAGACATGAACTGCTGAGAGCCTGTTCCTTCAGATTTCTTAGAACTGTGCTCTCAAGCAAGGGCTTTGTTCATTCTTTAATTGAAACAATATCTCCAGCATGAAATGGGGAAGTAGAAGTCAGGACCCACTTATTATATCAGAGAATCTTGCGCCCTTTGATCTCTAGATCTACCACACATAATTACAAACAGACATTTCTCAATTTTTCTCAGTTTATAATGAGAAAATCACATGCACTTTGATTTGTAAAATATGCATGCATACACACATACACTATCTCGGGTAGAGGGCAAGGAAGGGTTCTGAGGGATTAAGGTCATATGCCCAGGTCACAAGAGGAGCACATGGCTCTATGAGCTTGTTTACATTACAACCAGTAACTTTACGGTTGTAAGGTTAGGTAAAAGTCTAGATTACATCCATATTGTAAAAGTCATTCCTACAAATCACTCACCTCCACCTGAAATCCAAGAACAAATGCCTTTACAAAATCAGCTGCTTTTGTCAGAGCACTGACATCCTTAGTGTCTTTACAAGTCTGAAAAAAAAAAAAGGGTAGTAAATATAGAGAAAATGAAAAAAAAAGTATTTTAACCAAGTACTAAAAATTATCTTTCCATGATAATTTCTTTCACTGCCAATCCCCCTTTCCCAATATCATCTGTAAGACCACCCTTTTAGGTGAGATAAGCACTATCTTTAATTTGTAGAACAGAACCTTCCAAGCTCCTAAACTGGGCTATTCTATCCAAATCTTCTCATGTGACTAAACGTACTATCTGATCACTCTAAGGTAGCAGCGACACCTCTCTAGCATCGTCCAGTGGCACACACTCACTCCATCCCTCTCTCATGTCTAGGCTGGTGGTTCTTTCTCCTTCATCAACATAGTCTTCTTGGCCTAATGTTCTATCTGAAATGAACATTAACATGTTATTTCCCAAATCAACAACTCTAATCCTAACTACTTGCATGCCTGATACTGATGGGAAAATCAAGACTAGCCTAAGTAGGAATCCTGCAAGTAATTACTTGGTAAGTACAGAAATAACTGTTATTCATAAATGCTCACAACTGTGAATAATATGCTTTACATCTTGACAATCTTGAATGTCAGGTAATTTAAACACTTTTATACATGAGGAAACTAAAGTTCTAAAAACTGAATAGATGAAGATCCAAACACAGGTCTAATTTCAAAACTATTCCTTCTAGTCTCCCATGCAAATTTACAATTCATTTGGAGATTGTACACTTGACAAATTTAAAACCATGAACTACTGTTTAGCAGGATAGTGTCTTTAGATTTTTATATTTAAAAACAGACCCTAGGGGCTGGAGAGATGGGTCAGAGGTTAAGAGCATAGACTGCTCTTGCAGAGGACCAGGGTTCGATTCCCAGCACCCACATGGTGGCTATGACCCATCCTTAACTCCAGTTCCTGGGGAATCTGAAGCCCTCTTTTGACCTCCACAGCATTGCACAACACGAGTGCACTCACATACATGCAGGCAATACACTCATACACATAAAATAATAAATAAAAAATTAAAAAAAATAAAACAAAACAAAAAAACAGACCCTAGTTCCTATCCTGTATGTGATTTTTGGCAAGTTTCATAAATATTCTAAGAGTTAAGTTTTCTCAACTATAAAATAAAGATGGCACAGTAGAAGATCCTGAGTATTCCCTACTAGCATCAAGATTCAATTGTTAGCCTGATGACTGTGGTCAAGGCACAAGTTTCCCCTCTTTCTTCATATCTATAGGGGATATCTCCATCACAGGGTTACCCTGAAGTTCAAATGATATAGTACTCATCAAATTATCACTACACTAAAAATACAAATTGAAGATTCTGCAATAAATAACACAGCTAAGCACAAAATAAGCTGATAAACATAAAGGAGAAAGAGCTTGAGCTAGACCTTGGAAGTTGACTGGAACTGCAGTCAAAGAGAGTGGAAAAGACCATCAGAGCAAAGTCACCAGTGTATGAACATAAAAAAATGGCGAGGAAGAACTTCTGACTGGGTCTCCCTCCTACTTAGAAAGCACTCAGTCAAACACTTAGTTTTTATCCCTTACAAATGCTGAGCATGCCAGAATATCAACAGAAGCCCTGTGATCTGGGAAAAGTAATCTGGCATTGCACAAAAAAGTGGCAGCACAGAGCCTCTCTCCTGTCATTCTGTACTTCAAACGTTACTATTTAAAGTACTACTGCATCTTTGTTCCATTATTATTATTGTCCATTAACCCACTAAGTTTAACCCTGACAGTTGACTGTATGAAAATCCACAGAAAGGAAAACAGTATTAATTGATTCCAGTACAAAATTAGCAACCAGAAAAGAAATCCAAAATGAATTTAGTTTAAATGTCTAAATCCTGCTGGGTGTGGTGTGTTGTGGCGCACGCCTTTAATCCCAGCACTTCAGAGGCAGAAGCAGGAAGATCTCTGTGAGATGGAAGTCAGTCTGGTCTACACTGCGGCTACAGGAAGACCTTGTCTCAAAAAACCCAACCCATCCCCCAACTCCCCCCAAAAGTCTAAGTCCTGGACTGACACCTTGGAATGAAAAATACACATATATGTATAGAGATACATAATTTTCTCAAAAACAGATTTCATGCAAAAGAACATTAATATACATAACACATGTACTGCACAGTTAATGTACATCCATGCACTATTCTCCACCTTTCATCAGTTCAACATAGAACATTATAAAAGACACGCACAGGATAAGGATTATTTTGCTGTGATCACAGAACCAATTTAGGAATTCAGCTAGTATTTTTTCTTGAATGCAGTTTTGAAGATTTAAATTTATCAAAACAGCTTGGTAAGTTCAAACCCACTATACTAAAAAACAGAAGCCATTTAACAGAATAAGCTCTAATTAAGTTAAAATGTATGCATTTATTTTCATTTTTTTAAAAAATTTATTTTATGCGCATGCGTGTATGGCCTGCATGCAGGTAAGTGCACCCGTGTTGTGCAAAGCCCGCGGAGGCCAGAAGAGGCTGTTGGATCCCCTCGGACCGCAGTTACCGGCAGTTGTTAGCTGCCATGTGGGTGCTGGGATTCTAACCCGGGTCTTCTGCAAGTACAACCAGTGTTCTTAACCACTCAGTCATCTCTCCAGCCCCTATTTTCATTTTTGAAGGAGAAAGATTGGTCCATCTGGAAATGGCTGAGAGGCTCTCCTCACCTTGATTTCCACATTCCTTGATTTCAAGTTAAAGCGTATCTGAAGTCCCAAGTGTTCTACAATAGGAGTAAATATCTTCATCCAGTTTTCTTTTAGCGGCGTGTATCTATTAGCTGGGACTGGAATTTTCCTTGTTTCTTCTGTCCCACTCTGCAATAAAACACACAGGGGAACTCAGGCGACGTCTGGAGCTCAAGAATGAGAACTGACCCCCAATGAGCTTCAGGAGGATTCCTTGACAGAGGATCTCTCGGCAGAGAAGCCAGAGGCGCGCTGGGGCTGAGGGCCTTCCGAGCCCGGCACGGCCCGACCCGTATCAGCGGCAGGTGCCTCGTTACCAGCGGCCTGCCTGGCCCGGTCCGGCCTGCACCAGCGGCCGGTGCACCCACAACTGCCTTCCCGACCCGGCTCGTACCAGCAGCCTGTCCCCCGAGAGCGGAGGGAAGGCCGGCCTCTTCGCCGGCCTGGCTGCCTCCACGTCCATGCGGCCGGTGTCTGCGTCCTGCCCCGCAGCGTCTGGCTGCTCCGCCGGTCGCTTCTTCGCCCGCCGGCCCCCTCTGCGCGTCAGCGGGGTGAAACCGTCAACCGCAGCGGCGCTCTCCGTCTCCATTTCTGCCACGGCCTAAAGCGAACCGCGAGTCCTACCCAACATGTGCGAGCGCGTATCGCGCGTGCGCCAGCCTCCGCCAATCACCCGGAGGGCCCGCCCTCTTCTGAGGGCCCCGACTGGGGCCTGAGGCGGGATTGGTCGGACTGTCCTACTAGATGCCTCCTTCCTAGCTTCGCGCTGCGGCCGCACACCGGTGTCCCGGCCGTCCCCGCCTCTTAGTGTCTGTGTGAGAACGTCTTGGTGAAAGCCGGTGATGCCGCTCGAACCGTCTATGGAGAAACGGCTGGCGAGAGCCATGGAGCGCATCCGGCATCGTCGCAGGGAACTACTTCCTGGTCGAGCGCGGCGGGTGGAGCGAGGCCCGGAAAGACTGTTTGCAGTCCGGTTTCCAGGCGAGGGATTTGTTGGCGTCCGCACCATGTCGGCTTTCGAGAAGCCGCAGATCATCGCACACATTCAGAAGGGCCTCAACTACACGGTGTTCGACTGCAAATGGGTGCCTTGCAGCGCCAAGTTCGTGACGATGGGCAACTTCGCCCGGGGAACCGGCGTCATCCAGCTGTACGAGATCCAGCGCGGGGACCTGAAGCTGCTGCGGGAGGTGGGTGCACGCTGCGGTCTGTGTTTGGCACGTGCCTAGCATGTGTCTGCTCCGGGCCCTGCATTCCTCAGTGCCGCAGACTTCGACCAGCGGGACTGAAGAGTGCGAAGTGAGAAATGCTTCGGATTTAAAACTTGTGCGTCCCAGATTCTCACCTGAGGATAGTACCCAGGTGCGGGACCCCCCCTTTTCTTCCTGCCGCCCCCAACCCCCCCACAGAGTCCAGAGCGAGGTTTCTGGGAAGTGACGCTAAGATTGCCAGTCTGTATTCAGTTGATAGACCCAAACCTGTGAAAGGAAATGTCAGCGATTTCTTGCAGTTTTTTTTCTGTTGAGGGAAGATAATCAGTTAAATAGTCAATCACACTAGAATGCATAAATGTAAATCGAGAACAGTTTTCTAGTACACAGATCCTTGAGAGTAAAAACAGATGTAGAAGCTAACCAGGCCAAACCAAGGATAGAGTAAGCTGTTTCCAGAAGAACTAGCATGTAGAAGTTCAGTGACGGTGGTGGGAGATAGTTTATTAGTTTAAAAGGAAAACAAAGTAAAACAACAAAACAAAACCCAGGTGTGCTGGCGCATGTCTTTAATCACAGTATATTGGGGAGGCAGAGGCATAGGGATCCTTGTTCGAAGCTGGCTAGGGCTCACAGAAAAAGTGAGATCTTTTCTTAAAAAAAAATCTGAAAAGGCGCACAAGTGGAGTAAGGAGGGAAGGTTACAAGATCTGTAAGGCATTTAAACGATTTATGCCTTTTCAAAAAAAAAAAAGGAAAACCAGACATCACTGGACTTTTAAGAGGATGTTGCAAGACCAGATTTGCAAGGTTTGTAAAGACCGCCAAGGAACCATATACATAATAGTGTTAATAAATACCATTTACTTTTTTTCTTTTTTCTTTTTTTTTTTGAGATAGGTCCTGCTGTGCTGTCCAGCAGGACTGATCCTCATGACTCATGTTCCCAGAGGGTTGAGATTACAGGCTTGTGCCACAGTGCTAATAACTAACAGTTGTATAGGTGGTTACAATTTTTAAATATTTTAATTTGGGTTGGCCAATACAAGGGATCAGTCATGATGAGGTGTTCAGAGTTGTTAATCGGTAAGTTCAAGGATGGTTAAGAACCCCAGGCATCAGCAGCTATTTGAGAATTGACTTGAGGGAGGTCAGGGCGTAGGTAAAGGATGCTCCCATGAGGAAGTAATGAACAGCATCCCACGGTGGAATTCCTCAGAGCCCATTTTCTTGTTTAGTTTGTACTGTAGCTAGGCACTCTACTTGGAGTTTCTAGACCTGGCTTGTTCTTTTCTGCCTTTCTGATGTTCTTCATCACTTATCTCCCAGTCACCTGCTGCTGTTCCACTGGCTAATTCAGATTATCTGATGTATGAAACCCTTCCTGATCTCTACAGAAAGTAACCTTTCTTTACACTGTACCCCTGTAGTGCTTTGCATCTGCTCCATACATAAGCATTTTGTGCCATTTATCTCTAGACTGTAAGCTGATGAGTAAGGACAGTCCTTTCAGTGTGATTTCTTCGGATCATCCACTCTATTTTCTAAAAGAATAGTGAATGAATTTGGAATCTTAAAATATTGGTTTAAGGACCATTAGTCAACTTGTGGGGTAGGGGATAAGAACATGGGAAACATTAAAATAACAGAAACGTAAGTGAAGTATTAGGAAGAACTAGCAGTTGACACTCAACCATACAGCATCTATAGACTTGTGACTGTTTTCCCAAGAATTATGATTTGTATACATTTTAGTAATACAGTTACTCCTCCAAGTGAAATAGTGCTCTTCTGATTTCTGAAGAATTCCAGCAAAATTTTAAATGTTATCCTTTTTAAATTTTTTTTTTTATGTATATGCGTGTATTGCCTGCATGTAGGTTAGTGCATCTGTGTCATGCAATACCTGCGGAGTTCAGAAGAGGCTGTCAGGTCCCCTGGGATTAGAGTTACAGGCAGTTGTTAGCTGCCATGTGGGTGCTGGAATTCGAACCCAGGTCTTCTGCAAGAACAACCAGTGTTCTTAACTGCTGAGCCATCTCTCCATCCCCTAAATGTTGGCTTTTTTAGTGAAAGTAATATGTGTTCTTAAGAAACATTTAGAAAGTACAGATAGGGAACAGAAAAGAACGCAGAATCAGAACCTGAGAAATAACTGCTTTTCTGTTTACACTGTGCTCCATTGACTCCTTTTATAGCTATGAATTACTAGAACTGTTGTCTAGAGGTTCTGTGCTAGAAAAGAACCAATGATTTTTGAAAGATACATTCCTTCTAAAAAGCCTACTCTAAGAAGCAAATAAATTAAGAACAAAATACTTTTCAGAACTTACTGTATTTTGTTGGGGTGGTGCAGGATAAAAAAAATGTAGGTTAAATACACATTTCACCATGAGTCAAAATCATCTGAATGTGTTTTGTTGATGTTGTGTGTGTGCATTTTTTTAATTATATTTTTTGAGAATTTCATACCCGAGGATCATCTCTGCATTATTTCCATCCATTGCAGTTCCCCTCCAGCTCCTTCCATGTCCCACCACACCCTCCCAATTTCTTGTCCTCTTTGATCACTGCTGTCACATATGCATATATACATACATTTACAAATATGCATACATACAAACATAAATAAATATATACATAAATAAGGCACAGAGTCCATTTAGCAGTACTCCTGTGTACCTATGTTTAGGGCTTCCCACTTGGGATTAGATAACCTCTCAGGAGCTTGTCCCTAGAGAAAACAGATTCTCCCTCCCTCAGCATCCATTGATTGCCCGTATGTAGCTCTTCATCTTGAGGTGGGACCCCCTCTCCCCATGACATTCCCTCCATCCACTTTGGCGTCAACTGGTTTTATCATGATGCAGACCTTGTGAGACTCCCACACCATGGAGATGTCATTGGTGCAGCTTCCCTATCAGGTCTAGAATGCATTTAACTAGCAGCAGCTGTCTCTCCGGCTCTTACTATTTCTATACCCTCTTTTGCAATGTTCTCTGAGCCTTAGAGCGTTACATTGTAGATATGTTAGGGCCGAACACCTCACAGTCTATATGAATGTTTATAAAACATTTGTGCTTTGCTCCCACCTCTAGAAGTTTGAAAATTTAATAACTGATTCTAATGAGTACCAAGGTTAAGAACCATTGGACCAAATAGATTATTTACTAAAACACTAGTAAATATATATATGTTTCAAAGTCTTTATACTCAAAATAACATGTAAAAGGAACAAATTAGCCTTGGTTGTTATTGCCCTTTATCTTATTACTAAATAGAATGGGTAGGAATGGACAGAGCCAACAAACTGATCAAGTCACATAAAGATTTCTGGCCAACTGCTCCTCACTTCATCAAGCCTGCCATGTGTGAGACTTCAACTTATAAAGTAACAACATTTTTCTGATATGCACAAAGGTACCATAAGGACAGAGATGGCTCTGAGAAGTGAAATCATGGTTGAGGATACTTATAAAAGTTGGTAATCTAATAAAGCTTTGCTTTTTTAGCTCCTGTGCTTCTGAATTTACTGCTTGTTAGCATTTGGTTGACTAAACCTTTTAATGTTAATTAAGTAGTGCCAGGATATGGAGGAGAAAATACTGACAAGCTGCCCTAGACCCACCCTCAGAACAAAAATAGTTCTCGTGGCAGTTGTTGATGGTGAGCCTCTTTAATCATGCTGACAGATCACATACCAAAAACCAGTAAAAAGCTAGGTCAAGTAAGCTATCCTTTTAGTATCTATTGATATATGCTAAATTTTGTTTTGAATAATTTTCTCCAAATTATTTGGATTTGGGTATTTCTTTTTTTTTTTTTTTTTTTTTTTTTTTTTGCAAGGGTTTCCCTTTTTTTCCCCGCGCTCCCTGGGATTTTCTTTTTTACAACGAGACACATTTATAT